CGATGGTGACGGAGGGCCAATGTTTGTGTGGGGAATGGATGCTTATTCCAACAGGATAATGCTGCAAGCCATGCTGCATGCCGGAACTTGACCTTTCTACAAGAAAATGGGGTCCATCTCTTGAAACATCCTGCATGCTCACCGGACTTAAACCCAATTGAAAATGTTGGGGGATGGATGACAAGAGATGTTTATCAATATGGCAAACAATATTCAGTTATCTTCAGAAGCTGGAGCAATATTTTTCGCAGCTTAATGGAAACACTAATTTCTAGCATGTCCCAAAGAATGTTTGAAAACAAAACCAGTGAAGGTAGAACTCATTATTAAATTTGGTTGTTGGATGTTTTCGTACACTTTTCGTACAATTTCGTAGAATTTTTGTCTCTGGTCTTATACTTTTGATCAAGTGTAAAAAAAAGCCTCATTATATAAAAATGTCAATTTCTCAATAAAATGTTCGGATTATAACTTTTTGTCTACATAACCTTTTAGATTATAAAATTAGTAACCTTAAGTAAGAAACGTTTAAAATTTTCCATGAAAAACAGTCTTTTTAAAAAGATTTTCATGTGGTCTTAAATTTTTGATCAGGAGTGTACGTTAAATTTGTTTTTGGCAAAATATCTTGGATAGGACTAGTTTCAGGAATTCTAACAAAAATCAAGCTAAGAGACAATCCCGTTGATAATTTGAAATTTTGTCTATAAAAATTATTATCGAAGGTGACATAACATGGTTTGCAATAAGCAACTAAATATGAAAGATAAACTCATAGCAGCTTGTTTAGATTATACATCCCTATACACTAAGGTACCTATCAAAAGATGTTTAAATCTCTTAAAAACGTTTAATACAATCAAAGGCTAACCTCTCCCTAAGGATAAAATTACAAAGATTTGCTGCCAAACCAATGTTATTTCACTTTTTATAAAAAATTTTTAGACAGAAATTTGGTTTACCGAGGGAATCGCTTCTTCGAGGTCATTTAACTTCCCTTTTGTTGAAATTTTTAGAAATTGGTCTTTATCAAAATATTTTACCTCTCTCTCTAGAAATATATGAAAGTCAAGGTTGATTATAATTGCAGATCCTTCTTTGGATTTTGGCGCGAATATCGAAATGAAGACCAAATGCATTTCATTCAGTGGAAACGTTTTCTGTTGCTGCTTCTAAATTCTCTGTATCTGTTCGTGTGTATTTTATGAATCTGCTTGATCCATCGGCTTAAATTTAGCTCTCTAGACCACTAGCAGAAGTGCATACATATAGTGAAAACATTTACGTTTCATGTTTACAAAATAATCAACTGGGCGACTGATATCATTTTCAGTGAGAGTTAAATGTAGCTTTCATTCTAACGACAACCCGATGCGGCACGAATTCCTAAGTTATTTCCCGCATTGTTTGTTTTTATAACTATTTCCTATTTCCTATTTTTGTTATGAATATTTGGCTTCTACATTTATTTTCGTTTAACACCCACAGAGCCCACCTTGAACTCTGAGGCGACAAACCACTATTGCGACTAGCATGAAATATATATATATATATATATATATATATATATATATATATATATATGTATGTATGTATGTATTTATATATTTGGTTAGATTGATGTGAGTTTGTGACACTGGGCTGACGATCGCAAAAGCGTGAAACCCAGGGTCACAAACTTACATCAATCCAACCAAATATGTTAGCTCTATCTCTGATATTGAGCGCTTTCTAATAAGTACCGGGCATATGATATATAAATAATTATATATTACATATATATATATTTATATTTATATACACACACTTTTCACATATGTATTTATATATATATATATATTTATTTAATACGTCTTACCAGTTAGTCGCTACAAGGGATAATTCTGAGAAGGATATAAATCCAGAGAGAGTTCAATGTAGACTACAGAGCATTATAATGATAATAAGATGACGGAAACATTAATTATCCATTTCGATCTGGATAATTAAATCTCCATCTTCTTTTATATATATATATATATATATATATATATATATATATATATATGGTCACGTTCTTTGAAACAGAGGCTTAATCCTTGTCATCTATGAAATAAATAAATTAAACATAAAAAATATGTCTTAATAAATAAATTATCGGACCTTGTCCATTTCTTAATATATATATATATATATATATATATATATATATATATATATATATATGGTGACGCCGAGTGGAGGCATGAGCCAGAGTGCAGGAGTCTTTGGAAAATGCTTGAAAACCATACCACAGGTTGACCTAAGCCTTCTAAGTGATATTGTGTAGACGCTGTTTCATGCTTGTCGCAATAGTGGTTTCTCGCTTCAGAGTTCAAGACGCTTCCTCTGTAGCTAAATGGTATAGCACGTCAAACCTAACGACGGTTCTGTGTAGGATACAGTTTCCTCACGAGTTTCACACATTTTGCACGAAATTTCTCGGATATTCAGGACGTTGAATGTAATTAATACTGTTTATTATAAAAAGAGAATTTACTTAAATATTTTTAACAATGAATATAACGAATATAAACATATATATATATATATATATATATATATATATATATATATATATATATAAATTGAACATAGAAGTCAACACTTAGAGGAGACAGACTGTTTCATGCTGGATGCAATCGTCAGGCCATATATATATATTATAATTTATATAATTTCAACGGTGTATTTTTTTATAGAGTTGGTTCTGTATATGAACATGGAATGTTTTATAGGCAGGAAAATGATGGTTTAAAAAATATCTGGGATATATAAAAAAAAAATCGCATAACGGAACAACTAGTTTGAACAATAGCTGCTCGAAATAGCAACGATGTCAGTTTTCAGGCAGGAAATTATATACGTCTTTTTGGCTCTCTTTTTCTCTATGTGAGTCTGTCTGCCTGTCTCTCTCTCTCTCTCACGCACACACACCTTTAAATTATACTGAATCTAAAGAATTTGTGGAATAATGACAACG